TTTCAGCAGTCTTTTTGATGGTGGTCCTCTTGACCTCTATACAAGAAGCAAATATAAGTTAGATGTTAAATTATTGAATCTAAGACAAAGAGACAAAAGAAAAAAATATTACCTTTCTCGATCTTGTCAAAGACCAGCTTGAACGCCTCGCGAAGGTGGTTAGCGAAATCCTTCTCGTCGAAGAATTCTTCGTTGTAATATTGCCTCCACCACCCCCCAAAAATGGGAAAACACATAAAATTAAGATTAAAGTCTAACAGAGTTAGTACGGTCCAACCAACGTACCTACCAATGTGCTTGGTAGCAACATCCTCTGAGTAATTTGCGTTATAAAACAATAGCAGCTTCTCTCGAGAGTAGATGGGAGACGAAAGTGACTGAACAATACCGAACTGTCGAGAGACAAGATTCGGTTGGTAAGCAATCAAACTCAATTAATTCTTCGAACTCTTGAATCTCAGCAGAATGATTCTGGGTCGAAGAAATGACTCCTAAATAGCCACATATTCGTCCTCTAGGTCCTCCTTATCAGCAGAAGGAAATGGTCGAGTGAACCATTATGGACCAACTTTTTGACTGGCGAAGGGAGCCATGGTCGAAACAAAATTTTGGCGCTCTGCAAACATCATCACAAAGCTGGTGAAGGCTTTCTGAAATTGCTGACCCTCATCAGTCGGAGTCAACAAGACTAACCTGGTACCTTCGACCCTCCTATTTATAATTTATGGGGCCTCTTCATTTATCTTATTCTTTTGAGGAAGAAAAAATTCGAAAGTAGTGTTGAGCCAGAGTTGAAGAAGCCAAAATGGGCCAGAAAGGAGCAAGCTTGCCCTGTCTCCAATGACTTTGAGTTGAGTCACGCCATTGCTGATGGGCTCATACAGATTGGCCAAAATCAATTCAGCCAAACAGAGAGGGTAGCCATGGTGAAGCTGTGTTGCAAGCATAAGCATCTTCTTAGTCACTTAAAGTGACTTAGTATAGAAGACGGAGCGAGATAGCCACATAGCTAAGAAGGCTATATGTTCCACCTCCGACACAGTGCTGCAAGATTTATCATGAAAATGGTTGATGAATGTGGTATATGTGGGCTTCGTGGCTGAAAACCCAATGGCATCCTCAGATAAATCTTCTGGGTCGAAGTAATCACCAATCGGTCGAAGACCGGTAATTTCTGCTAAATTAAAAAGGGTCGGGGTCACCATTCTACAAGGAAGATGAAACGTGAAATGGGTATTGTCCCAAAAGTATAATAAAGACACTAACATAAGAGGGCAGTAAGATAACCCTGTCTTCGACAACATCACCAGGTCATAAATCCCCATTTCTTTCCAGATTGGGGTTTGTACCTTCTCCATTTTGTTCATCCAGTCTGAATATTCTGAAGAAAGGCTAGGGCACGATCAAAAGATCCTATTCCCTTTATTCATGAACTGAAGATTAATATCTTCCTTCGTCTGAGCATGTTGTTGATTAGCTGGGGTCGCATCCTCATGATCATTCCTGGGTTTCTTGGCACAGCCTATAGGCTTAAGCCTAGGGTGAGTCAGGAAGAAAGCACGATTTTTTATGGGATTTTTGATGTATGCAGACAAAGGGCCAGACATGGCATATATATCCTCAAAATACCTGATGGGGATGAGGAGCTGGGAGTTGTACGCTTCACGCCTTTCTTTGGTCATAGGTTCAGAGATGAACCTTAGCCCCTCAATCGAAGCAGGAGGAGAACTTGTGGGAAAAATCTCCAGTTGACGCTGTACGTCAGAAACATTCTTGGGCTTAGGGTTGTTTGGAGCATTGGAGAGAAAGACCATTGTTATGAGTTGGTGAGAAAAGAAGATGATAAAGTCACTACGATATAAGGTATTTTTCTGCATAAGAGATGAAGAATGTTAAGTGTTGTGAAAGTTCCAAAAGAGAGAGCTCAAGGCTATTTATAGTGTCCAGGGAGAAGTGTTTCTCGTCAAGGCCATTTAATGCTATAGACGTAGTGGGGCACGTGGCAAGCAGTAAAGAAGTTACCGTGCATGTGATGGAGAACGTTTGACATGCTTGCCTAGGTTCTAGGAGTAATGGTCATCATGGCAGCATGGTAACGACTGATTGAAAAGACGTCTTGGGAAAAGAGTAATGATGATTCTAAGTGTGACAGCTGTTGGAAGGCGAAAAGTACACGTTAAGCCTTTGCGGACAAAAAGAGACAGGTGTCGAATAGGAATATCAAAGAATGACTATTTCTCTCGACGTCGAAATAGACATTCTTAGGGGGCAATTTGTTGGCTCTTGAATTCGACACCTACGATAAATTGGCCTTATGGGCCAAAAATAGAGCAAATAAAGCCAAGCTGGAAAATACTTCGATGGATGGAAAAACTTAGAGAAATATCTGAGTTGCAAATTGGTCTTCGACCAGACATCACCATCAAGCCTTCGACTGAAAAGGTCCTGTGGCCTTTGACTAGAAGAGCAACCCTTGTGTCAGCACCAAAGACGAAGGATATTTGAATTTGAAGATTGGAGAGAAATGCAATTTGCCCATCAGTTAAGGGAAAGCGACGTGGCAGGAAGATAAAGGTCGAGGGGCATGCAAAGGACACTTGTCTTCATCCTAGAGAAAGGCAACCCCTCGACAATTACATAATTTTAGTATAAAGATAGGAAGTTTGTGTAGATTTTCCGTGTGTTCAACCTATGGTACTAGTCACTCAATATTATTCAAGTACCCGCTGTGTATGAAAGAATAACTGAGAATGTACGTTAGAAACACCACCTTTTATTAATAAAGTCTTTTACATTGCTTTGATCTTCTTTTGCAAAGTTTACGTTTCCTGCATTTTATCTGCATTTCTATTTGCTTTCCAAAACCACAAACACCATCTCCCCGGTCGAACGTGTGTTCTTCCTAGATATTAACTTTTACATCAAACCAGCATAAAAATTAGCATATGTTCTGGGATCAATCTGATCGATCCCGCGAGTAACCAAAAGGGCTTTCCTTTTTGGAGGATCAACGATTGTTTACCAAAAACCACAGTAAACAGTACGGGACCTGAATGGCCTCGCGGTTGAACCGATCGGTGAATTCCCTGAGGGTTTCGTTGCTTCTTTGGATGATAGCCTCGTGGGGAATAACCGACATTTGATCGGTCCTATGATGTTATGATAATGGATCATTGCCTCGAACCCGTCGATGTGGTCGACTAGGTGAACAATGCTGTCATACTCCTTCCGTTAGGGAGGCTTTTCCATTCCCTTTGGAATGGGCGCCTCCACGGTTGCTTGCGATAAAGGACTGTGGGGGTCGTCATCGTCGCTCCTGTAGGGGGAGTAAGAAGGGGACCGGTTGTAGTGGCGGTCATAGTGATGTCCTTGGCCTCGGGGATGATCCCTTGGTCGAGGATGCACTTCTATGTTGCCCCTATTTCTGTTTTCAGGGGATCGTTGTTCCCTGTGCGGGGGGTGAGGCCACGTCTCCCGGTAGCCTTGGGCATGGTTATTTCCAACGCAGGGCTTCGACTAGTCTGTCGAGGGGAGAGGCTTCACGACTTGTCCCGTCCGTGTCTCCACGGGGGAGATTGAAGACAGTCTTCATCCTGACGAGGAGGTGGAGAGTCAGGTCTTCTATGTCTTCTGGGGGCTCGATGAGAGTCTTCGAGCGCCCTTAATCGCCCACCTTGCGAGAAAATCATGTAATTCGTCTAGTTAACGGCCGCGAATAGGGCCCTGGTCGTGGCATCAGCGCCTGGAAGGACGGGGACCTCCTGGAAAACATTTGGCTCGTAGTTCTGGGGCGGATGGGTGCCCTCGTATGGTCGAGAGCGTGATGAGGAAGAGGCGATCATGTCGTCTCTGTAATTTTGCATGAGACCGACCATGTCGTCGTTGTTCCCATTGTTGTTGTTGTTGTTGCCCATGTTGTCAACCACATTGTTGTTGGGGTCAGCGAGGTGGGCGTCAAGGTTGTTGTTGGCAGTTGGGTCGACCATGACAATCAAAAGAGTTTGAAGAATTACTTTAGTCTCGAGTTAGTGAAAGACGGAGAAGCTTGTTTCTCACAAACGACGCCACTGATCGTACCTGACCAGAGTGGATCATCAAAGCCTGCGAGCTGTGAGTTGAGCAACAACTGAAAGTGAGCTAGAGAGAGTACTTACAAGACACTCCGATGTCAAAGTAAAAACAATTGTATAAAATTTTGTTAAATTCATTTTAATTAAATTATTATTTTAACAAGTTTGATATTATTTTTTTCATAGATGTCCAATAATTTATTTTATTGACAAATTTCCAATTTATGTTAATATATATATAGATATATTAAGACATGCTCCTTATATTGTAGAGGCAAATCAAATACAAGGTATGGATTTGTTTAAGTTTTTTTGGTCAAGAAGAAATTTATTTGGATATAGAGTTGGTGTAAAATATTTTTCAATATTAAAAATCATTGATAATTTTGTGATATTTTTACATTGAATATATAAAGCAACACTATGATTTAATAATAGTGGAGTCTCTATATAGCGACGTGGGAAGTAGGAGTAGAGCTTGTCTAAGAAAAGTGGGTGGCTGATATTATTTAATTTATCTAGAAAAAAAAAGAGAGGAGTAAATAAAGTCACACAGACACGGTTAGAAGATGAAAATGAAAGAGGAAAGAGCATCCTCCAATCCGCTTCACTCTTTTTTGCCAATACATGATACACGTGTCCGCACCGGATCATATTTTTGTTGAAATAAAAAAGAAAAATCAGCACCAGCACCACAATAATACAAACTCACTCTCACGTATCATATTCAATCATAACAAGAGCATAAGAAAGAGGAAGTTGCAAATCCACACTCTCAATTCTCTCGGAGCTTTCTCTCTCTCTCTCTCTCTCTCTCTCTCGTTCTCTCTCTCTCTCTTTCTCTCTTTCATCTATCAGTGGATCTCGTGTTGATCGGAACCCCTGGGTTTTGATCCTTCTCAGATCTTGAATTTCATCTCCGATCCGAAAATGCCTGCCGTTCATGGAGGTCGCATGACCACTTTCGAAGACTCCGAGAAGGAGAGTGAATACGGTTACGTTCGTAAGGTCAATCAATCGTTTCCATTTCCTTTATTTTTTCACTATCATCGATTTGTTCTTATTGATTTCTATTATTCATCGATTCGTTCTTATTGATTTCTATTATTCATCGATTCACTCACAGTTTTATGATTCTGAATTTCAATTATTCCTCCGTTGATTCATCAATTGCAGCGTTTAATTTGTGTTTTCGTTTACGACTTACAATTGTTCAACTCCTGGTTCCTTCACTGCGCGATCTATCTGCTATTTTTTTGTTCAATTTTTTTTCTTTCTGTTTTATGTTTACACTATCGGTTTATTTGATTTCTGTTGTCGTGATTTGTAGATACCGATTTGATTGAGAATTTGAATATAACTTTTTTTAATGCTGTTTTATGGTTATACTATTGGTTTATTTTATTTGTATGCTGTTGATGCTGATTTGATTGAGAATTTGAATATGATAAGTTCTGTCTACTGAAGTGTTTTTGGACCTTGTGTTGACATTGTACTGTTGAATTTTGCCGAGTGAAAACAGGTATCTGGACCTGTCGTTATTGCAGATGGCATGAATGGGGCTGCTATGTATGAACTGGTGCGTGTTGGTAATGATAATCTCATTGGTGAAATTATTCGTTTGGAGGGGGATTCTGCCACTATCCAAGGTTCTGCGTAACTTCACACTTTGATACAAATGCATTAATGATTTTCTGTTACTTTTGTTACTTTTTTATGATTTTAATGATTTTTTTTTATGTATGGGATTTCAGTTTATGAGGAAACTGCTGGGTTGATGGTTAATGACCCGGTGTTACGTACACACAAGGTTGGATTCGATATCCAATTTTCTATTATCTTGATTGTGTTTGCTGTTGCATGATTTGATTGATAAACGCTATGTCTTTTAACAGCCTTTGTCTGTGGAGTTGGGACCTGGAATCTTGGGAAATATTTTTGATGGAATTCAGGTTTGTCTTTTTTCCATAGACATTTGTTATATTTTATACCCGATTTCAATTGGGGGCTAATTGAGATGATTAAAGTTTTCTCTTCCTGGCTTCTTCTTTCAAAATTTGAATTTGAATATCCTCTATTTGTTACAGAGGCCTTTGAAAACTATTGCAAGAATATCTGCTGATGTCTATATTCCTCGTGGTGTCTCTGTTCCCGCACTTGACAAAGATACACTTTGGGAATTTCAGCCTAAGAAAATTGGTACGTTTTGTTCCAATTTATGGTGAAGTTCTGTACAGAAAACAAATATTACTAGGTCCATATATTCTGATATTCTATTTTGTTACTGGTGACAGGTGAAGGAGACCTATTAACTGGTGGAGACTTATACGCAGTATGTTTTCTAGCTAATTAGGTTAGCTTATAAGTTGTTATTTGTAGATTTGTTTTCTGATTCCTTGTATGGATTATTTACCATTGCAGACTGTTTTCGAGAACAGTTTAATGGAACACCGTGTTGCACTTCCTCCTGATGCCATGGGAAAGGTTACCTACGTAGCACCGGCTGGCCAATATTCCTTGAAGGTTTGTTCATTTTTATGTTTAGAATATGTTTGCAGCCTCTCTTTATTTGTGCTTCATATTTATGTATTTTTTATGGCAGCTTTGCTGAGCTTAAAAGTATTTATACACATTTTTTTCCTGCATTCTCGAGCTTCTCTATTTCTTTTGCAATGTATATGGTAATATTTTCCTGTTATTTGCAGGATACTGTCTTGGAGCTTGAGTTTCAAGGTGTCAAAAAGAAGTTCACCATGCTTCAGGTTTGTGGCTATCTCTTTTTGTGGTTGCTTTATTGAAGTATTGGTCTTCCTTATCCTTCATTATAACATAAAATACTGTACCCATTTCAGAGTTGGCCTGTACGTACACCAAGGCCTGTTGCATCTAAACTTGCAGCTGATACTCCTCTTCTTACTGGTCAGGTAAGCTCAATTTTTATTCTGTTCCTTGTGTATGATGGGATTCAGATAGTTTTTACTCCTCTTCTTACTAATGACTTCTGTTTTGTGTAGCGTGTTCTTGATGCCCTTTTCCCTTCAGTACTTGGTGGGACTTGTGCCATACCCGGAGCTTTTGGTTGTGGAAAAACTGTCATTAGTCAAGCTCTTTCTAAGGTGATCCTAACACACTATGTCAAGGCACAATTGGTCATTAATTATAATTTTTTTTAATAATTCAGCAGACCTCTTAGTTCTTCCTTTTTTGCCTCTTTGACAGTATTCAAATTCTGATGCTGTTATTTACGTTGGTTGTGGAGAACGTGGAAATGAAATGGCAGAGGTATGCTTCTTTTTAAGTTATTTCTATAAAATATTTGTGCTTGCTGGTATTCGACTGGTCAAATCATTTTTAATGATTGTTCAGGTTCTGATGGACTTTCCACAACTTACAATGACATTACCTGATGGCCGTGAAGAATCTGTCATGAAGCGTACAACACTTGTTGCTAACACTTCAAACATGCCAGTGGCTGCTCGTGAAGCTTCAATTTATACAGGTGATTTCTTTCTTCTTAAAATCTAAATCTTATTTTTGTTCATGAGAATTAATCTTTACCAGTTCTCTCCTACTGACAATATTTGGAATATCAAACTGTGCATATAATTGCAATAAGTAGTGTTTCTCAGCACCTGTTATTTCAGCACTTAATCTGTGCTTAGTGTGAAAATTAAAGAGGGCCTAGAATATGCATATGATATGCTGTTTTATATTCCACTAGTTCTTCTTACCTGAGCTGAAACTTTATATATTAACTGTCCTTATAATGAGATAGTTTGACATGTGTGCTGCGTGCGAGTTTTAATACTTTTTTCGAACTATATATTATATTCTGACTATTTTGTTTTCAAATCTCAGGAATCACTTTAGCTGAGTATTTCAGAGATATGGGTTACAATGTCAGTATGATGGCAGATTCAACATCTAGATGGGCAGAAGCATTGCGTGAAATCTCAGGACGACTGGTGAGAATTTCACTTATGCAGCAGCGGTTGTTCACCGGTTACTTTTTGAAAGATTTTAGGAAGAATTTGTTTCTTCATGATATATTATTTTTGGAGATTTAGTTTCTGATGTTGGAGTTTCTTTCTCCATGATGTATGATATATAAAGTTTATACATAATACACATGGGGAAACATGGGCATTGATCATTGTAAATTGATGAGATTGTTGTTTTCATCAGGCGGAAATGCCTGCTGATAGTGGATATCCTGCTTACCTTGCTGCACGTTTAGCTTCTTTCTATGAACGTGCTGGAAAAGTTAAATGTCTTGGAGGTCCTGAAAGAACAGGTAGTGTAACAATTGTTGGTGCTGTTTCTCCACCTGGAGGAGATTTCTCAGATCCCGTGACATCTGCAACCCTCAGCATAGTTCAGGTAATACTCTATTGTCAACATATGTTTATCAAAATATAGGACAACTTCCCGCAAATAAATTTTGATCATGGTTGTCTCCCTGTGTGTCAATCGTCACCATGATCCCTCTAGTTGTTTCTTCCCTTACCGATTCTTTTAGAATTTGTTAAGTTGATATTTTGCTACTTGGTAGGTTTTCTGGGGTTTGGACAAAAAGCTTGCTCAGAGGAAGCACTTTCCTTCTGTGAACTGGCTTATATCTTATTCAAAGTACTCAACGGTATGTCCTAGTGTTGGGATCTGCACAACTCATGTTTTCTCTTAAGCTTCCTTCATTTGTATTGGATATAGTTTGTGCTTGTGTTCCCAAATATCATGATTTCCTAATATTTTCTATGGTATCTTCAGGCACTCGAATCCTTTTATGAACAATTTGATCCAGATTTTATTAACATTAGGACAAGAGCTCGTGAAGTTCTGCAAAGAGAAGACGATCTTAATGAAATTGTCCAGGTGTGTTCCTTTGCACGTTAATCATCTTGGTTGCTGGTTAAAGAAATCTTCCCATGCCCTTTCCTAGTATGGGTTGAAAATTATTCAGCTTCTTTTGGAAATAGAGGTGGTATCATAAATAACTTACGACAGACCTTAAGTAATGTTTGGTCTAAACCTGGTTTGCATAAGTTGTCCATGTAACGGCTAATCTAATAAGTTTAGCTTTAACATATTATCCTGATTAAGGTATTGTTTTGTTGTTTGAAAATAGTTAGTCAGGCATATACTTAACCTGTAAGTAGTAAACTATACTAGACCGACCATTCACGACCTTCTTTGTTCCAGCTTGTAGGAAAGGATGCTTTAGCTGAAGGAGATAAGATCACCTTAGAAACTGCAAAGCTTTTGCGAGAGGATTACCTTGCTCAAAATGCTTTTACTCCGTAAGTGCCCTTGTAAATTGTTAACTTCTTTGATACATTTTTACTCATTTTAGTGATTTTAGTTGTTGTCTCTCTTATATTGTTACATTTTGTGTGTAATAGATATGACAAGTTCTGTCCCTTCTACAAGTCTGTCTGGATGATGCGCAACATTATTCATTTCTACAATTTGTCAAATCAGGTATTGAACAATGTTACTTACATTAGATTAAGGAAAAATCTATCCAACTGGAGGCATGTAGGTTGTTAGCAGTGGTTGCATGCATCCCTTCTATCTGTATTCTTTATCATAGCCCAGTCACAGTGTTATTATTTATTTCTTCAACCTGAAAAGAGATTTCAGCAAGATGGCTAAATTTCGAATTACAGATCTTTAACATGAGACTTGCTACATGTGCAGGCAGTAGAGAGGGGAGCTGGTACTGATGGTCAGAAGATAACTTATACCCTCATCAAGCATCGTTTGGGAGATCTCTTCTATCGTTTAGTGTGAGTAATTGTAGGGCGGCTGCCTTGGATGACTTATTTTGACATGTAAAGTAGGTCTTATTATGTTGGTTTGCTATTGCAGGTCTCAGAAATTTGAGGATCCTGCTGAAGGGGAATCCGCATTGGTTGCCAAATTTACTCAGCTACATGAGGACCTGACTAATGGTTTCCGCAACCTTGAGGATGAAGCCCGATAATTGAAGAGATGATTTAAGATTGCGAGTTTGCTCAAGTATTGTGTTATTCATGTAGTAAGAGGCAATCTAGTACCCCAGGGTAGCTATCCTGAGTGTTATTTATTTGGTTGTTCCATTCATTCATATCACATTAATTTCCTTTCTCGGCTGGCTTGACTTTTTGATGTAGTTGTATGTGTAGCTATAGTCGTGTCATTCAGTCACACCTTGTTTTTTGTCTCGCTAGAGAATAATAGAAGAAACATCTTTCACTATGTATTTATGCAAATAAATGTGTTTACAACATGAAGTGCCCGCGGGCATGTGGATTCTGGATTCATTGATGGAAATTGTGAGAACATGGATTTAGATTGAACCTTGTAGCACCGAGTATTTGAATTTGGAGCATCTTCCATGTCAAACTTTCTTATACAATAAAATGTAGATGACTTGATATCTAAATGTGTTTATTCTATCTCCTACTCCGTTACATTCATGTATGAGTGATAACTGTTATGTATGAGTGATAGCATATTTTTTTTATGGTGTGTAGTTGAATGAGAGAACTCTTTTATTCCCAGAAATGAGAACTATTACTAAAAATACTGGGTCATAGTTAACTGTTGAGGTTATCAAATAAACGTGATTGAATTGGATCAAACTGGGGCAAACACTACTGCTGTCATCTATACTCTCGCACTCTGCAGTTAACCCCTGTTCTCCTGTATATATTCTTCCACATAACCCCTGTCGTTCCTGCATCTTTGTGAGTGCACTGTGAGAAAGTTTCAATGTGATTTTGGACTTTAAGAAGGATAGAGTGTCATCACGAGCGCAGAAGTATAAGTTTGAGTAAAATTTGTTTTTCATGATAGTTTGAATTTTATTTGTCGGCAAATCAATAGTTTTTTGTATATTAGTCATGCATGTAAGATTTTAGTTACTTGACCCGTGCAATAAAAGAGGGAGAGAAGATGCTTCTTCCGAATGGAGTAGGCAGAAATCTGGCAAGAAGGTGAATAAGAGTAACTTGAACAACATTGAGTTTGAAAAAGGCAAGAGAACACCGGAAGATTTGGGGAGTTTTGGTAAGAAAAGGAAGCGGGAACAAGAAAAGAAGGAAACAACATGTCAAAATTTAAAGGTGGTGTTGAAAGACTAACACCGCCTAATCCAATAGAGCTCGTAAGCTGGAACTTCAGCGGTTTAGGGAATCTCCTACAATTAGCCTTGTTAAGACTCATAAGTCTGGAAAATTCTTCCTTAATCTTTTTGATGGAAACCACTTAAAAGAACAGGAGATGCTAGATGTTAAGTTTAAAAGTGGTATGGATCACAGGATCAGAGTTTCATAGTGGAGTGCAGTGGCCTCGGTAGAGAAAGAGCATGACGTATCACCCTGTTATGGAAGGAAAACTTCCTTTTCTATCAATCATATCAATGGCTCCGTGGTAGATGAAGATGTTCAACCTTGGTTTCTCTCAGGTGTCTATGGATATCCGGAGGAGCAGAACAAAAGGAGAACGTGGCAGTTACTTCAACATCTTCAACAAAAAAGTGGAGCCAAATGGCTTTTCTTCAGCGAGATAATGGAAAATAAGGTGGGAATTCCAGGAGCAGTAAGCAATTTCTTTGGGAAGGCAAGCTGTGAAGACTTGTGGACTGCAGGATCTTGGTTTTGAAGGGTATCCCTTCACGTGGTCTAATGGGAAACAAAGAGCTAACAATATCCAGTGCCGGTTAGACAGAGTTTTCGCAACTTTTACTGGGGTCTCGAGATTCCAACCCATTAAGGTGACCCAACTTCTTCCTACTTCTCTCATATTTCTCTGAACTCCTGGCCTCTTCTACTAATATTCAGGCTACATGTGAAGTGGTTAGAGACAAACTCAGTTTGGTGTGAAGGGTTGTTCACTAAACAAGATGTAAATGAGGCTCTTTTCCAGATGCACCCGTTAAAAGCTCCGGGCTCAGATGGACTCCCAGGTCTCTTTTCTTTTGAAATTACTGGCGTATAATGGGCAGGGATGTCAAGAAAATGGTGCTGGAGATCCTCAACAATGATCAGGAGCCAGCAGATTTAAATCAAACCTTCATTGTCTTGATCTCAAAGTGCAAAAACCCTAGGTCTCCGAACAAGTTTCGGCCAATCAGATTTTGCACTTGTTTTTTTGCGGATGATAGCATTCTTTTTGCAAAGGCCAATTCTCAAGAGGAAGAAAGAATAATGGAAGTCCTTTCTTACCGAAATGCGTCAGGTCAGATGGTCAATCTCGACAAGTTTGAGGCCTCTTTCAGTCGAAATGTGCGGGAGGAAGTAAAAAATATCATCCGTAACAGGATGAGAGTTAAGAGTGCTATCTCACTCGAGATAGGTATTGGGAAGATCCAAGAAGGAGGTGTTTTCTCGTGTTGTAGAGAGCGTATTTGGAAGAAGATGAAAGGTTAGAAGGATGAATTTCTATCTAGATCTAGTAAGGAAGTGCTAATTAAAGCAGTTACTCAAGCTATTCCAAACTATATTATCAGTTGTTTCAGATTACCTGAAGGAGTGTGCATGGAGATTGAAGGGCTGATGGCGAGGTTTTGGTGGGGGACCAGAAGTGGGGAAAGAGTTTGGACAAAATGGAAAAAGCAAAAGGCTTGGAGGTATGAGTTTTAGAGGGGTGATATAGTTCAACTTAAGTCTCTTGGCAAACATTTATGGAGGCTTCAGGGTGAGAGTAACTCCCTTCTTAGGGATGTTTGGAAGAGCAGGAGGCGAAATTGGGACATGCACCCAGTTACGCTTGGCGTAATATTCTGAGTTCCAGGGAGCCTGGGTATGGAGGGTTTGAGGTGGAGAATTGGGGATGGGGCTAAAGTCAGGATCTGGAAGGATAATTGGTTGCCGGCAAAGTTCTGGGCGCTGCTAGAGGCCTAAGCAACGATGGCAGGGTGAAGGAGGTTTTGCTGTCTAACTGGTGTGTACAATTCTTCGGAAGATTTTGAATATGCTAGGAATCTTTGGGTGTTTAAGAATGAGGTCCAAATCCTGATGCAGTAGCGAGAAGCGCGGTGGACAAAGTGTTGGAATTCAACAAATCCAATCCCTGGCTGAATGTGCGGAAGAAACCTGTTGAGACAGGTATGCCGCTTAATTGTCCGCAGGACTTCCATACCATTCACGTGGATGCTGGGTGTTTTCCTAATGGTTCTGTGGTCTTGGGCATCATCACTGTTTACTGCAGTTGGAGTGGTTAACCTGTGACAATGATGGATATGTTATTAGTCTTGACCTTAGTGAAGAATCAATCCATGGTGGATTTGACGATTCAACTAGACTTTTCAGTCTTCAGTATCTTCAGAAACTGAATTTGACTGCAAACAATTTTAATTCTTCCATTCCATCAGGATTCAGCAAGTTGGAGAACTTAACTTATTTGAATTTGTCAGATGCTAGATTTGTAGGACAGATTCCAATTGAGATTTTTCAAGTCAAAGGGTTAGTAACCACCGGGATAAGAGCCGAAACATGAGAACTCAAATCTACAAAGCCTTGTCCAAAATTTTACCAGTTTTAGACAGTTATATCTAGATGGTGTAAATATAACAGCCCAAGGGCAAGACAGTTATATCTCATTGTATAAATCTCATCTTGGTTTTCTTTGTTATTTTTTATGCGCCTTTTTGCTGCATAATATCGTCGTTGTATTTTTCCTTGCCGCATGTAAAATGGTTTTTGTGTTTCTGTTTGCTGCATAATCTGTCAAATTGGTGATTATACAAAAAGGTTTTTGGTGTTTTTGTTTGCTGCATAGTTTTTTTTGCATTATTTAACAGTATTTTTGCAATCTAACCATTGTGATATTTGCAATTTGCGCGTAAATCTGTCCTGTTGTGATTTGCTATTGTTCTATTGGTTTCATTTGTTCTGGATGAATCTTTGAGTACAAAGCATTGGATCATTCAAAGCAAAACTTATCAGTTAATTATAGTTTGACTTGATAGAATCCTTTTTTTTTGTAATATTCACTCCCTTCACAATTTTGGATCACAGACAAAACATGACCATACAAATGTGTAAGGGAATACTTAGTTGTAGCACTATTAGGGTGTTGACAATGACTTGCAAGTCTTCCATTCAGACTTCAAAAGCATTCCAATTAAAGACAAAATATTTTAGTATAACCACTTGACTGTTTTAAAAATACCTATATCAAAACATTTAATCACTATCTGACAAATTGTTTCATTCTCATCTTCTTCATGACTTTATTATTGTTTCATTTCATCTTCATAATAAATGATTCTAGTCTTCTATTATTGTATCATTCTTATCCTCTTCAAAAAAATACGTGGATTTCTCTAGACACTGATAATTGAAAGCACCGTTCACATGTATGGTTCTCACTCTTCTTTATATTAGAATATAAATCCTCGAATACACTATGTGACAAATTGCTTCATCCTTATCTTCTTCATAACTCTATTATTATTTTATTTTATCTTCTTCATAATAAATGATTCTAGTATTTTATTATTGTTTTTTTCTTATCCTCTTCCTTAAAACACATAGATTTCTCTAGACACTTAATAATTTGTACAATATTCTTTTCTTTGAAAACACCGATTACATGCATGATTCTCACTCTTCTTTATACCAATATAAATCCTCGAATACGCGTGATTTATAATTCATTGTTTCCCTATTAAATACATATAATAACATTTCTTTATACTAGAACATAAATCCTTAAGTACACATGGTTTATAATTCATTAAAAAAAAATGAAATTAAGTGCTTTGCTTAAAAATACTTTCACAATGAATTATTTTGAATAGCTTGCTTGACATTGAAAAAAATATGCTTGAAAGGATTATTACTTACTCTAGTGAAGACAAAGTGCTTTACCAATTGATTTATTATAAAATTTAGATAAGCTGAGTAAAATTTTAAGTACATATTTCTTTCAACAACAATATTCTTTTTGAAATTCTAGACTGATTCTTTAAAATTATATGAAAATAGATTAATTTCGTAAAATTCTTTGGTGATGATCAATCAGTTTCCACCATCGGAGCCAATGGATATATTTCCTCATCCCATCATAACTAACAAGATATATAAGCATCTTCTTTTCATTGTACATTCATAAAATTTGGAAATTTCGTTGAAGGCAATAATAACATCACTTCCCTACTCATAAAAAAACATCACTTTTTCATACTTGCACAAACCCTATCATCAGAAATACTATAGCTTAGTCCAAAACAAAACATGCATACGGTGTCAATATTAAACAGACAAATACAAATGTCAGGGATCTGCCTTCTTCATACTTGAACAACTCCTTGAATCATCCAGGACAAATGACAGGGATCTGCCTTCTTCATACATGAACAACTCCTTGAATCATCCAGGACCAACTTTAGGAATATCATAGTGCTCACTCATGTTAGCGAGATATTGATTGAAATCCTGAATCCTATCGCGATGAGATTTGTTAGAAATCTTGGCCAATCTATGAACATCAAGTTGCTCCCTCTGTTCTATATACCGCCTCTCTGCTGGTGTAAGATGGTCATCATAATGAGCAGGCTTCTCTTCACCGTTCAATTCACCCCCATCATTTACTTCTTGGTCATTAGGATCTTTAGCTTGTTCTGTACTTCCACCTGCATCAAATACAAATAGCACAAACTATTAGTATATATATTGCACATCTTATGGTTTATGAAGCATGGACACCTCTAGGCATAAGCGTGTTGCGGTGTCCGACACGTGTCAGTGTCCGACACTTGTATGACACCCGTATGACACGTGTCAGAAAAGTCAGACAAGTGTCGCTAAAAAAATAGTTTTTTTTATATGCTTTGACACTAGTTGAATCGGTGTCCGACACCCGTATGACACTAATGCAACACGTGTCACACAATTCAGACAAATTTTTCAAAAATAATTTGTTTTTATTTTTGTTTCATCACGCCTTATACATTTTTTTGGACAAATTTCATTAACATCGTTAAACATGTTTTGAAACAATGATATCAATAAAGAACTAAAAATATTAATTTTGATTAGAATATTTTTAATTCTTTTAATGATGGAGGGATAAATGAAACTCAAATATTATCATATACATAGCAGTGTCTGTGTCCTATATTTTTATATTATTGGTGTCGGAGTGTCCGTGTCGTGTCGCGGTGTTCGTGTCGGAGCATGTGCTTCATAGCTTATGGTGAATACAACAAATAAGATTACAGAAATGCGAAACAAAAAGAACTATTTTGCACAACAGTACCCGGTATAATAAAACCCAGAAGTTTCTAAAAATAGTCTTAGTTGTTGTTTATTGCCATAAAACAATGTCCATTATCCCTTATAATTTTCAGTACAAAAAAAACTGTTTTCAAGGTGAAAAGTGTGTACTAATTCAAGATTCAGAGTTTCATCATATGATATTCATTATGAAACAAATTTTATTGGCTAAAATGATAGTCATTTTGAAACAGACGGAGTACATAACAAATTATTTGAGTCGCATACACATTCATTAAAGTTCACACATTGGAATCAATTTCATAAACCAACAACAACAACAGAGATAGATAAGTGGATCAACTTTCGTCATAATGTTCTATCCAAATCATTATCTCAATTGCTGAAAAATCCAAAACCCTAAAGATTTTTTACTTCTTATCAGGACATATAATTATGAACATGTGCGCGCACACGGAGATAGATACTAACCTGCTGAAATTTCATCTTCAGTTGATTGCAAAAACTGCAGTTGATTTCTTTTATTCTTCTTTTTCTTCTTCTTGACTCCACCAGCAACATCCAATGCTTTCCCCTTCAGCTTCAGTTTACCACCAACAACATTCTCGTACGCCGACATCACTGCAAAAAGATTATACCAATCAAAAATTGAATTCAAAGGCATTAATGTTTAGGGCACTTACAACAACAACAAAAAAAACCCTAAAAATGTCAATACGCATCGGAGAAAATCGATCTGATAATTAGGGTTTAGAAAAATCACGGGAACATTGTTTGGGAAAACTATTGAATCTATTGACTAATGAAATAAGATATATATGAATCAAACAAGAAGAAAGATTGAGAAAAATAATAGATAATTTGAATTTGAAATAGAAATAAAGAAATCAAAGAGTATGAGAAAATAGGAACCTTGAAACACCGAGCGGCAATCACAGGATCTTCACAACTCCATTCTTCAATTCAAATTCTTTGCAATGCTTCGATTGAGATTATTATCTATTAATGCTACTTTTATGCTACTTAAATACACCACAAAATTTAATTACGAAATATTCCCAAAATACTCTATTTTTTTAAGTAATAAAATGTATTTTAATCACTCTATTTTTTTTATCTTTAATTTTGTGTTTTCATATCTCCCCTTAGACTCGGTTTGCTAAGATCACAAATTATTTTTTTTACTTTTTAGTTTTTTATTTGTACTTTTTCAGATTTGTTTTGTTTGGTAAGTGTTATTTAGTTTTTAGTTTCTAGTTTTTTATATTAAGTTGTATTTTTTTTAAAACTTTTTGAAACATTTTTTTTGAATAAAAATAATAATTTTATTGAAACTTAAGTGATAAAAGGGATCCAACCATACTATCGAACCACAAATATTAAACCTAACCTATAACACGAGTAGCTTATTATTGTGGTATTTTAATTTTGGTTTAGCTTAACATTTATACACCACTCTATCTATAATCTTTGAAACAATTATTTTACAGCGGACTGTGTCCCCAAAACAAGTTTGGGTTCAAAATCCCTTACAGTTAGCATTACCCCTTATCCCAAATCTATTAAGTCTCTCTTTTGTTGGCAGAATCTTATAGTAAGCCATCCACAAAGTATGAATAGCTCTAGCTCTAACTACATTGTCATACATAACTTTTCTCCACGCCACATCTTGATCGTGTTCAGTAAAACTCTAATATATCTTTCTAGTATAGAATTTTTTCTGATGTAAACTATTGTCCCATTCCTGCATATTAGCTATCTCATTTCTGACTTTCGAAATGTGTTTCACAATCCAAGATACAAAATTATTTATTGGGAAAATCATAATGTCTTTGAAATAGTATATGTGAATCCATCTAATCCAAAAGCTATATCAACCTTATCATTCAGATTCCATAAAATTTTCACCATGTTAGCCTTGTTTCGATCCTGCAATGCCTAATTCTACTCACATATTGAGACCACCTTTACTTCTAGGAGAACAAATCTTCTTCCAAGTCACAAGAGATTTTATAGTAATAATCTCAATTATAGACTATAAGAAAGAACTACAAATTGCTTCAACTCTTTTGATGATTTGCTTAGGCATAAACAAGCACTGTAACCAAAAATTACTAATGGCAAAAATAACACTTTTGATCAATTGAGTCCTATCAGCAAAATTCAATAATCTAGAGCTTCAATACCTAATTCTACTCACAATTTTATCCACCAACCGAATACAACTATTAACAGATAATTTCTTACTTGTGAAAGGAATATCTAAATACCTAAAAGGTAAATGACCCTCAGCAAATGAAGTGTCTCTAAGGATCTTCGGCTTGATATGATCCTCTACATTACCAAAATAGACTCTGCAACATTTCCGGATACACCTCTAAAATTCAAGTAACATGCTCCTCTTTTTTCGTTATTTAGAAATGTAAACTTGACATAATAAGTATTCTCAGTAGAGTTAACACCAACAATTTTCAATAGTGGAAGTCTGTACTTGTTAGTCTTATATGTTGAATCAATGATGAACACAATCGAAAATGTGTTAAACAACTTGATGGAATCAAGATGAATTCAGAATATATCTTTAACGATTTCTCCATCCTTGCATGTTAGGTACCTAAATACATAATTGTTATCAAGTAAAAGTTTCAAGAGGTGTTACATTTCAATTTCATCCTCTATCAACACCTTGCTAGTTTGGTACTGAATAATGTACACTTGTATGATATTTGTGATATTTCCGGGTCTTTTACTTTTCAAAGTTGCAAGTATGTTTTTTTATTGCACTAAATTCATTGTCATGTCTGAAACACATTCCTTCTCTTCTGGCATAAGGCGACATGCAATTGGATGATCGACTAACTTTTCACACAAGTCATGATTGTTTAAACCACATATCACATTAAACATTCATTTGTTATTTGCCAACAGATAACCATGTAGCTTAAAAAGACACTCGCATTTTCTTGAATCGGTGTCATCTCGATTGAAATCCCGAAGATGACGTATATACTTCCCACTTATTTTGCCTATTATTGTCACAAGCGCGCCTCTTCTATCCGAACCATTAACGAATCTTCCCATTACAAGACCAAATTTCAGTTTGGATGTCTCCATACGAATCCATTGAAGCACGTGATCACGAAATTAAAACACTCATTTAAATTGGTTGTCAATATCTACCTCATTCACAACAACACATTTAGCATCCGAAGACACAATATGTCTGGGAAAACATTGGGTGCACCATATATAATGAAAACAATAACATAAAATACTCAAAAACAACAAAAACTTAAACTAGACAGTTGGAAAATAAAAACAGTCAGCCTTCAGAAATGCATTTCTAGATGAATTCATATATAATCTAAAATTATATTCCAGATTAAACATAAGTTTTTTCATCTTCAAAACAAGATTAATGTGAACAATGAGGGTTGAAATAAATGAATCTTACCTTGAATTCCAACTTATTTTGCTTATTTTGATGTGATGAAACACAAAAATGAAGTTTTAGAGTCAAACTTTTGATTGAGAATAAAAGAGTTTTGGGAAATGGTTTTTGGAAAAATGGACATGCAGATCATGCAAGTGGTTGTTTTATCAAAATCATGTTTGATATTTTCAGGAATAAATCTTTGAAAATGTCTGACATATAAAGGTGATAGGTTCTCAAATTTTCGCTTCAAAACTTCAAAAATACATTTTCGAAAACTCCACTGAAATGCTAAATAAACAATATAGATTTAAATACACTTTTGATCTCTCTATTTTTATGTTTTTTAAATATTAACCCTCTCATTTTAAAAGTCAACATTTTGGTCTCTAAACTTTATCTCGCTCAAAATTTTGTTTATAATTTTACATACATGATGCTCTTATTAATAAGATAATATTGCTATAATGTATATTCATTTAACGTGAAATTATTACAACATTCTCATGTGGCACATATGCAAACACAACATAATTGCCTCTAAACTTGTAATAGTTGAAAAACACTCCATACACCTTAGAATTGAGTGGTTCCTAGAAAATATTCTTATAATTTGTTGAATTAATTTTTTACTCATTTATAATTGATTTAGAATCTTTATTATAAGTTGACTAAAAAAATTCTCTCATAAAATAGATCGTTTTGAATCAAACTGAATAAACAATTTTATGTTAATTCTGGTTGTTGTGGTTTGCTTATACTTCACATCATTTTTTTTAATCCTTTAATTTTTCTACTTTTCACAACAAAAACGATATTTGATTTAAAATATTATATGGAAAAAGAATTATATTCTTGAAGGTTTACCCGATCATTGATCTTAACTCACGCTTGAATTACCGCAAAACTAATTGAATCACTAGATAATATAGATGAGAGTGTTGAATGGGGAAGATTCCAATTCATGAGAAGCAAAACTAATTCTCTAATCTCTAACAAGAAAAATCAGAAGCAGCCGGAGGGAGTCGTTTGACATTATTGATAAACAGCTCTAGATTGTGAACTATTAACATCAACTTAATGGAATTATAACACATCATATATCTATAGTATACCATTGCATCTAAAGTGCACCAATCAGAGGCATTAAACAACAAAGCTACATGGCACCAATTGAAGGATTCCAGATAAGTCATCTTCAATATATTCCTGGAATGATTCTGTAAGGTACCCTGTCACAATAGAGTTTCCAGTACTTGCCATACCTGCATGCAGCAATGCAAATTTTCAACTATGGAACCATAAAATGTACTAATCTATTTGTAATGTGAAGAGTTCAGCAACATTATGAATTGTATGCTTCATAACCAGACGAATTGTAGGTACTAGACTAGTTCATGCTTGGATTAGTTTTGCAAAATGTGGTGACTTTGGAAAAAACTACATTTTGATGTTTTAATCAAATCTCGGTGTTATTGAAACATGTAGTAAAAATCACTACTCATAAGCAAACTGTTTGTAAGAATATGCATGCTGAAAAGATATAGCAGAATGCTTACTTGGATCTGCATCGATCATCATCCCTTTTGGCTCGATCAAAAAGAAGGATGGTGAGAAATACCACGTAGAAGTAAGGCAAAAACTGCACAGGAAAAAAGAAGCAATTAAGCTTTAAGATTCTCTACAACTTTCATTTTGTACGGAGAAATAAACACTCTTTATTACGTGACTGAAAAGAGCTGGGACTGTCCAGAAGAATGCAGCTAGTATTTCGGGGACATAATGAAAATGACGTGCTAACCCCCACCTGCAAAAATGAGCTGGTTATTCTCTAAGAAAATAAAGTTACACCAAATATCAAAATCCAAGACATATAATGAGATCAAATGTAACCTAGAGTTAGCAATCACATATCTATATGGATGTAAACTATTAACATCAACTTAATGGAATTATAACACATCATATACCAACTGTAACAAATGGAGAGCTTAAATTACCCAACAAAGGAAGGCAGGTGTTGGTCTTTTGGTAATCATAATACTATCCCAATCATTACAAAATCTTCGCTTTTACATAAGTAGGGGTATGCATGGTTACCAAATTTTAAGAACCAATCCATTTTAATGGTTCTAGTTTTAAAATCAAACTATTTTTTATAATAACCAATTTAAAATTGTAAAATGGTTTCAATTCGGTTCAAAACCGGTTTAAACCGGTTTTCAATCAAAATTGATTTATAAGGAAATTGTATCTTTCTTAATTTGAAGAGACGAAAGAAATCCAGGTTAATGAAGGGAACAAGATTTAAAGGCATGTGTCATTTTTATACTATTATATTCAAACACCAGCACAAATCGTTTTTCACAATTTTTTTGAAAAGCAAAAAAGTAAAATCCAATTTAAGAGTAAAAACATTACACTTTAATCCATGATAAAGTTGCACCAGAACACTAAAACTAGAACACTAAAACCTAAAACAAAACATCCTAAAACCAAGACAAAATCTGCTTCAAAACAATTGCTACATCATAACAGTTAAACAAAAAAACGCAGGTTAACAATCGTTCATCACAATTAACTTAATAAGTTCTTCTTCCATTAACTAATCACCACTCTAATTAACTAATTAATAATAAATAAAATAAAATATATAAACTGGTATTCCATTTTCAATTTAAATATTATATAAACTGGTTTACACGAATTTAAATTTCCTGTGCCTTAATAATACCTTACTCATTAATAATAATATCATATACATTTGGTTTTATGTATGACAACTGGTTATGAAAAATGGAAACCAGATTTTTGTTTTGATATCAAAATGGATCTGGAGCGGTTCACATCCAACACAAATTGAATTATAAAAATTGGTGCACTGAATTTTTAAAATTGGTTCGTGTAAACCAGTTTTTTTGCACATGCCTATACATAAGTTGTAGAATATGCTTTAAAAAAAGTGATTTAATTTTAAGTGAAAACTTACCATCCAGAGGTTAAAAGAAGGCTTTTTTTGGTTTCCCCAGAAGTAGTAGTATACGAGGCCTCTATCTGCAAGAACATTTTCAATATGAATGGATTATGTAAGTCTTACAGCAATTTTTTATGTAAGTCTTACAGCAATTTTTTATGTAAGTTATTCCCAATTTGACCTGCATTATATAGAAAATAGAAAGTACGTTCTATTAGAAAATGGTAATATACTACATTCAAGGCATATTTACCTTTGATGGAGCTCTTCCCCAGACCAAGCCTTTTCCATTTGTTCTACGAAACTCTTGCCTTTGCCTGTCACAATCATAGTTGATGTATATGCACAGAATGCCGGACACTAAAATAAATAGTGCTAGCTGCAAGACATGATAATGTTCATTAAAAATGGGAAAAGGTTGAAAAAATATACATTAAAAATAAGAAAAACTCTGCTGGCAAAACCACTTGAACAACTCAGCCATATTTTTTTTCTTTTGTTCCCTGACTGAATAACTACCGCAAAGCAAAGACACAAACCGGAAAGGGATGGTACCTGGGTGCCAAGATTTACTGGATGGTTGACAAGGTACATTCCAGGAGATGTATACACGGATGGAACCCAAACCAAACAGCCCCAGCAAATATAAAATCCAGCTGCCAGATTTAGGGGTTTTAAGATTTAGTGAGACAATAAAGAAGTTTGAATACAATGAATTTAGCATTGACATGTGAATACTAATTTGAGCATAATATACGAAATCCAGGTGTCATGGAAGAAGGTATGATCATAATAAACTATGAAAACTAATGAGGTCAAGAAAGCATAACAGCTGAATAATAGGGAAGAGCAAGTATGTCAACAAAAACAGTAATAAAGCATGCGTAAACCTCGATCATGTGCAATATCCATTGTGTTCCAGTATCCAGCTTCCCACCAGAAAAACTTGGTAACATACACCAGCATCAGAGTAGTATTTACAAGCATGGAGTCAGCTACTTTCCCATTTTCTTCATACTATTAAGACAGGGTATAAACATAAGAAAATTAACCAAGTGGTGAAAACTTCACAAGAAAATTACAAAATAAATTTACATTCCTGATTCATATATAACTAACATCATGTTCATGGAGGTAATTATCCAATAGACATTATATCAGAAGCAACTAAGGAAGTCCAACCACATATAAACAAGATTTAAATCCATATCATAAATTAAATCTCATCAGAAGACGAAAAAAAAATCCAAAAGTAGATGGCCTAAGCTTCTATAGAGCTTGCCTGGTCACCTAACCACCAAGGTCCCCAGGTTCAAGCTGTTTCTATAGGGAAGTATCAGCAACTACAAATAGTTAATTAAAGGATTATTATCTGTTTAAGCTAACTACATACTGGATGGTACAATCGTTAAGCTTGACTTCAGTATTCATATAAATAATAAAGCCTTTGAGACTCAACCTGCTTTATGCAATAGGTAAGTGCAAGAACAGCCCACGACATCATTCCAAATCTGCAGTTTGTGAAAACTTTTATGTCAAAATATTTTCCAATGCGTGGATATAGCTCCATCCCCTGCAAGAATGGTAAAGTTAGAAGGAAATCACTTATGGAAATGGTGGAATTAAACTCCACAGGTCCAGGCCTGTTATGCATATAAAAACATTACCCAAAAGATGAGTTTAGTTTTTCTAGCAAACTCCTCTAATATGGTTAAAATGAAAATTTCAACCATAAAACATTGAAACATTTCTACGAAAATTTCAAAGTTTACCCAGATTAAACAAAAGGATTGGTAATTCTAAAAGAATTTCACACGCATTCTCCGTGCTTTCTTCATTTAGAACAAGAGAGGCGGTAACTTTAATGAAATATTTGTTGCACCAAGGATCCTCTAAAGGTGTGACACCAACTATGAGAAGGGAGATTTATAATGCTACCACTCAATTTAATTTTAATTTTTTATATCATTCACTTTTTCTTTCTTCAACCCATGTAAACTTCCAATGCAAATAAACGGATATCTAAAATGATAAATATTTGGTTAAACAGTTTCATCAAAGATAAAAAAACAGAGATTAGATTACCCAGTAAAAATCAATGATTATGTTCCCAGATGAGCCAGAATCAGAAGAAGATGGTGCCAAATGACCCTATCAAATATAACACTTGAGTCAGAAATTTATGTAAATTGACAGGAAACAAGTAACTTTAGTTGCTTCTATTTGACAACAGTCTCACCTTTATGTATAAGAAAATACAAAAGATTAAGCTCCCAAAAATGAGTGTGGAATATATCTCTCCCAAATGATCATAAACGATTGTTGGGTTGAATATCCCAAACCTGAAAATAGATGCAAAAATTCTGTGTCATCTGCTGCTGAAAAAATAAAAGCAAACCACTTGCTTTATAAGGAAAAGCCAATATGTAACACAGTTTTCTCACCGAAGAACACATAGTAAATTGGGCTTAGTTTCCTAGAGTATTTTTGTACCTTTAAAAGCATACAAACTTACCCTCATAAAGCCGTGAAATTCAAGAGGATAAACAATTGAAGAGACTAGCAACGAAAAATGATTTTTTAAAAACCAAATATATCAAATCACACATCAATGCTATGAAGGAAATAAGATAGAATAGTAGAAACTCTCTCCTCGGGGGCTTCCCCTTCACAATAGAGAAGAATACTCTATTCACGATTACAACATTCCTAAGATACTCTCTACCATTTGTGTTCTCTTACTTATACACATAATTTCTATAACAAGCTCAACTAACTAACTACTCCAACAACTCATAACTACTATAATCCTAACACACTGACAAAGACATTGACACTAACACCTGAATAGCTGATAAAAGTGAAAGGATTGCAGGTAATCGCAAATATCAATGCCGTGTCTATCAAAGAGTAACTCACCACCAAAGAGCAACATAAGTAACCAATGTAACTAAATACGCAGCAACACCATTCGCCTGAAAAAAATTCAAAAAAACAAAAACAGAAGTTATTATCATAACTTAAGAAAAAACTAACAAAAACAAAAAGAAGAGAAAGAGAAACAAACCTTATAAACAGGACGATTGCCAGTGGGAGAAATAGGACCGTAAACAGTTTTACCAGGAAGAAGAAGTTGAAGCACGGCTTCAAAAACACCATAAACAGCGATAATTTCACACGCGAGAAGAGTAGGTTTAGGCCATAAATCAACAAAAGCTTGATAACCGTTATTCCTAAAGTAATAAAAAACGTTCAAAACTGATCCATCCGCAACCGTCATTGTATACCATCTACACAATTGAATTTCAAATTAGATCTGATTCAAAATTAAAAATTGAAGATTAGAGATTCAATTAGGGATCGATTGATTAATGAATGAATTAGTACTTACAGTAGAATTACGAAAGGAGGACAAAGAGTGAGGAGAGAAATCATGGAAGCGTATGTGACGAGCGGTGAATGAACGATGTCGTTCTTCTTCGATTCCGCCATTTTCGACCTGCTTCTTCTTCTTCTTCTTCACTGTTGTTCTTGACTTGTTTGTGAGTGTGTGAGTGTGAGTGTGACTACGACTCAGCGACGACTATAAATTATGTTACGCAACTTGAATTTCGTTTCCTTTCTTGTATATATTGGCCAGAACTGTTTATTTTCTTTGTGGAAAAATCATGTTTTGAGTATTAGGGATGAGAAAAAAAACAAGTTTGTTAAATACATTTCTTCGCTATTTTTTAGATTTTAAACTCTATTTAATACACTCTCTCCCTAATCATTTATAAATTAATTAATTTAATTTTTTTATATTTGATGATTAATATATCTAATTTATATATAGATTAAATATATTAACTATTAAATGTATAAAAAAAATTAAATTTATTTATAAATCGTTTGCAGATGAAATATATGATAAAAAAACATATCATATATATTGTGAGATCTTAAATCCGCTTTAAATTTATCATATTTTTTTGAGTGTTTAAACTATTTGTATATTTTTCAAGGATCTTTCTAGTAGAAAAATGTATGATCTCAAACTCTTTTTAAATATTTAAAGAAAACAGTTAATCACAACTTATAATATATTTAACTTTAATTATAATTATAGATGTTATGAGATAATTTTATTAAATATTAATAATGAACTCAGAACTATACGATGCAACTACATTGTCTCAACATTGGTTGGACGATCAATGTGCGACTAACACATGGTGATAGGTTGCCCAACAAGGGACATGAAGGCGTCCAGATCTGGGTGATAGGCCATCTTATTGGACTTGTGTCATCCAAACTAATTCCAACTACCAATTTGATCAATAAACATGAGTGATAATATACTCTAGCAATGATTGATTTAAGAGCCAACCAATGGAAAAATTGTCTCCCCCATATTCAAGAGAGAAAATGCCCCTTTCTCCATATCTTTGATAAAGAAGTTAGGGTAATCACTGTATAGCCCTAGCCATAGATGCCTTCAACATATACCTCATTCATAGAATGAGAAAAGAGATCAAATATCTGAAACAAAACTAAATGCAGAGCTTATCACTGCTCTACACGGGAAAACTTCCACCACAATTAAAAACTCTAAAACCTTCACACAACCTTACACCACAATGGGTTTTCTCGTTGTACTCTTTATTAAGTAAAATTGGCACCCTTGCATAGTCCATTGTGTAGACATGGAAGATATCCCGAAGTTAGTCGGGAGGTATATCATGCGCTTAAACCCCGCCAAATATTGATTCAGTGTTTAGGCAAGTAAATTTTTTAGATTTATACAAACCAGGAGAGGGATCCAGACGAATCCAAACAAATGTCAAGTTATCATCAATATGAGAAGTTTTTTCAACATTAAAAAGGTTCAACAACTAACAGGATGCCCTAACTCATTTTCTTTCTTGTGGAAATGACAAGGCGTTCCATTTCTTTGCCATTTTGAAAAAGAAGGAAAAATTCAAATGGACAAGCAAATGCGAGGAGGTATTCACTAGGCTCCCCACATATGGATATCATCTGTGGACGATGCTTCAAATCTGAAAGGAAGTGGCGTCAGAATAATGCTATAGGGAATAGACGACCTCTTGTTAGAGTAGTCGTTGGGGTTCGAGTTTAAAGCAAACAACAACCAAATTGAGTATAATCCCTCATCCTTAGCATGGATCCCACCATATAAATGGAGGCTTCGAGTCTCAAGGCCACGAGCCACTCAAAATTGATAGCGAAACAGTTCGTTGGGGAGTATTAGGAAGAATAGGTATGGTTGATCAAGTATTAAAAAAGGTACACAAATTATCTAAATGTTTCAAAACTTTTGAGATAACATATGTGCCTAAGGAACAAAACTCTAAAGAAGATTTCCTCTCTAAGCTCACCAGCACTAAGAAATTATAACATAACTAGACCATCATACAAGAAACTCTAGTCGCCCTCAATGTTGAAACAGAACAAACCAATACTATTGAAGTCACCCAAACCACAAGTTGGGTGGCACCTATAATACATTATCTGATGTCAACCGAACTCCCATCAGACGAGGTAGAGGCAAAAAAGGTCCGAAAATGCGCAGCAAAATGAACAACAATATCAAGAAAGATCTATAGGATGGGAGTGGTCTCCCCCGTGATGAGATGTTTTGGGGATAGCTAGATTTCCTAGGTCCTCACAAAGGTCCACCAATGAGCTCAACCTTTGAAAAGTTAAATAAAGAAGGGAGTTTAACTTTTCAGAAAATAGATATCAACAAAAAATAAAGATTCTCATGAAGAAACAGATCTATAGCATCTTGCATGGGACCTAAACAATCTTTAGGAGAACTAAATATTGATATTAGAGAATATTTGTTCCATACAATATATTTTTAATAATCTGGGTAATCTATGTATTTTGTAAACAAATTAATGTATTAATATTCTAGATAAACAGTGTAACAATATTTGTTAAAAAAAGATTTAATCTTACCCCTCGATTTTCTCTCAAAACCAAGAGGTGAGAGAAGCTAATATTTTAATTAAAAAAACTTATTCACCTCGGTTTTTGACATAATTGAGGGGATAGTTAAGTATTTTTTTATTATATTCACCGGTCTTAAACAAATTTAAGCCGTCCATTTAATGGTTATCAACGTTCAAAACTATGTCTTTAGTGATCCGGATGAAACTTAAGGGGCATCCATTATAAAAACATGTTGAATATTGAAAATCTAACCTAAATGAATATGATGCGCTTGAAACCTAAAGACCTTTTTTTTGTGAGCAGAAAATTCTTTATGATGGATTGCAAGAGCATAAAATTATCTGGTTTAAGGTTTATTTTCTGTAAATATTTTTTTGAACAGAAAGTTATTTATTTATCTAACCCTTATTTATTTAACCTTTTTTTTTGTTTTATATCAGAGACAAATGCAAGAAAAAGCCATAGAAAATATTCTGCACCCAGCATTTTCTCTTGCCTGCACCAAACATTTATTTGAAGATCTAAAATCTAGATCTTGATGGAAATTAATTTTTAATGTAATAATTTCTGTAAACAATGTAATATTAATGGTAAACAATATATTTTGTAAACAAATTAATGTATTAATATTCTAGATAAACAATGTAACGATTTAAAAAAATTAATCTTATCCCTTGATTTTATTTGTAAACCGAGATATTAGACATGTTACTTTTGAAAATAATAAACATATAGATGTTGGGATTTGAACCCACGTGCATATAAATTGATCTCCCGATTATTATTCCATCGAGGTGATAAGTGGCGACTTATCACGACGTCCTTCGCTACCTCGATTCTTTAGCCTAGGTAAAATATATTTCGCATCTGAAGTTAAAAGCGCTTTTTGTAGTATTGGAGACATTATTATGCTAGAATTTCAATGAAGTGTCCTTATTGTCCTTAGAGACAATATTTATGTTGAAACTTCAATGAAGTGTCCTTACCGTCCTCAGAGACGTTATTTATGTTGAAACTTCAATGAAGTTCCTTTGCTGTCCTCAGAGACAACATTTAAGTTGGAACTTCAAATGAAATGTCCTTTCTATCTTTAGAGGCAATATTTATGTTGGAAATTCAATGAATTGTCATTTCCGCCCTCATACAATATTTATGTTGGAACTTCAATGATGTGTCTTTGCACCATCAGAGGCAATATTTGTGTTAGAACTTTAGTGAAGTGTCCTTTACTTCCTCGGAAGCAATATTTATGTCGAAACTTCAAATGAAGTGTCCTTACCTCCCTTACATACAATATTTATGTTGAAATTTTAAATGAAGTGTTCTTATCGTCCTTAGAGACAATATTTATGTTGGAGCTTCAATAAAGTATTATTGCCACTCGCATAGGCAAATATTTATGCCGGACCATCACTGAGGGATCCTCACCAAGAGAAACTCAAGCAACACTTGAGGACTCGCTCTAGGAAGAAATTTATTCAGTCATGGAGCATGAAAGACAAACAATGAACAAAAGTACACACACACACACACACACACACACATATATATATATATATATATATATATATATATATATATATATATATATATATATATATATATATATATATATATATATATATATATATATATATATATATAAATCATGTCCTACAAAGCATAGGAAACTCGCCACAAGCAAAGCTTGAGAGATTCAAACTGTCTCCTTCTCTTGAGGCTAAGCCCCACAAGGAGTCTTCGTCAACTCAAGAAACAAAGAAAATCAATGAATAAACTACTTAATGCGAGAATATTATCATTAAAAAGACCCCAAAAGACGATGTTGCAAGAAAGTCTTTAATGGGGCAACGTCACAGACTATATAAAAAACATAAACTTAAGAGTTATAAATATGGACTTAGATTGTCTAAATTTTGCCTGAGAGACTCAACTATATGGATCTCATCTGAAAAGAAGTTGTCTCCGATATTAGATCGAATGTTCGTTAAAGCGACTTCTATTATAAATACCTAAGAATTCACAATACACTTAACTAAATCATCTCGCTCTTTCTAAGATTTCGTGTTTAAGAAACTATGAATTGGAATAATTTTATAAAATTCTAGTAATTTGTTTATAAAAATATTATCATAAAATATAATTAAGAAATATCAATGTGTTTTCTTTCTTCTGGTATATTATATATGTACTATATTATTAACTGTAAAAAATAATATAAAAGTGATATATTTTTCCATAAAAAATTTTTTGGTTACATATTTTTCCATAAATTTAGTATTACAGCCATTTTGTAATATACTTGTGGAATTTTATGATAGAGGAGGAATCATTCAAACTTTATAATTAGAAAAAAGAAGTTAGTTCAACCTCATTAAAGGGAGAAAGAGAATCTTTGGCTTTTATATAGAAAAAAATAATAGTATTAATTAATAAATCTTTGCCGCACATGAAGATCCAAAATGCAAGAATTTCAAAAGCGTTGTAGATCTGAGTTTTCTTAATAAGCCAAACAAAATGACAGCTTGCATTAA